CTGATCAGAAAGAGTCTGGTTCTTGTGTGAATGCATGCAGGATTGCCTTGCCAAAGGAACCTTCTTCTAGCAGTGCAGGCCAGGGAGAATTTAGTGCCTCCTAGCATTCTTGTCTTGGGATGTTTGCTCTGGTTTCCCTAAGACAGCATGAAGAGAGCTCTTCAGTTGAACTCCACACCAAGAATGTGTGAGAAATCCCTTTAGGGGTGGGAATCTGTTGGATTCCTTGGGCTCAATTCCCTGCACTCTTGTTCACTTTCTTGCAGCCATGGGTCTGAGTTTCTTGTGAGAGCACCCAGAGCTCTCTTGTGCTCTCCAGGAAATGAGCCCTGTGTGACCTCTGCATGAGCAGCTTCCGTCTTTCATGTCATGTGCAGCAACCTTTGCTTGTGCTACTGCATGTGACAAGGGAGGAGGTTGCCAGTTTTATGGCAGGGATTCCAGGTGCATTCATGCAATTTCTCATTGCTTTGCTTCCTATCTACTCCAGGGCTGAGTACACAAAGAACTCTGCAAGTGAGAGAGGGATGGATTCCTCATGGTGAATGGAGTCTGGACTGCAAAAGTGCTTCTTTATGAGGCTTGGATTCAGCTGCCTCCTGCTTTGTTCACAGGATGTTACAGGAAGTGAAGATGGTGACATCTTTCCCTGTTAACTCTCCTATATTTTCCTACTGCCTTCATCGTGTTTTTGAATAAGAGCAAAAGATTCCTTTTGATTGGTGTTCTGAAGTACTTGACCTCAGTTCATCCCAAGAGTCTTCAGTGTTTCACCCAGTGTCCATGAATCCATTCAGAGTCCTCTTCTGCACAAGAGACTTTCCAACCCTTGCTGTGGCTTCTGGCAGTTGTTTCTTCTCTTCCTTTTCCTCCTTTATGGTGAAGAAGAACACAGAATAGGGAGAGAGATAATGAGACAGAAGAAGCCATTTCAGTTGGGCCCCCTTGATTATGAAGTAGCTTCTCAAAGAAGAGATGATCTCTCCACCTTCTTTGTCAGCACTTGAGTAGTCAACACTTTGAAGAGAAATCAATAGGTGGTATCCTCCCACACACGCACACAATAGAATCTAAATGAATAACTGCACCCATCCATGAAACACTGGTGTCACTGGGACAGGGCCATAGGGGTCCTTCCTAAATCTAGGATTCAAATCTGTTGATAAAACTGCTCCCAATATTTTTCTCATGAAGCTTGTTCTCTTTGTTGACAGAATGTGCCTCATTCTAGATGTGTGGAGAGCTGTTGTCCTGGCTATGTCAAGGAGGTCCAGGAAGGGAAGCCACCTTGCTGCTATGCTTGCAGTCCATGTGCAGTGGCGACCATCTCCACTGAGGAAGGTGGGTGACCTAAGAGGAAAGGGGGTTTCCTTGAGAATTAGGCAAATGCTAAGTCTGCCCAAACTCTACCTTTGGGGTCTTTTTGGTTATACCACCCTTCTCATGCCCTACTCAGAAAAGCATAATTGTTGCCAATACTGGAGACCTCCCAGTGCCACCTGAAAGTGTCTTCATCTTCCTAGCCATTGCATTCTTTCCTAAACATTAGAAAAGTCTTTCCTGTATTGTAATTGGGAGGTATTGCTCTCCTCCTACTCTTTATGTTCTTACTGCTCAAAAATCTGCTTCAGGGTAAATTGGCTTTCAGATATTAAATTAAATATTGGTGGGAATACTCTTTGAATCTGGGTTCATCCAGCTCCCCATACTCTTTTGCCCCTGCAGTTCAACTCTGCAAGCAGTCCTTCCTGCCCAACCATTTGTGCAATGGAATCCACTGCTAAAATGATGGAGCTTTAACAGAATTCCCTTTGGAAACCCAAACTAGGCAGGAATGCTCCTTGCTGGTTCAGAAAGATCAAGGGAGTTCCTTTGTTCCTCAAGAGAGTCCCCACCCCTCCTGACTCCATTCTTTAAAACTTCCATGATTTCTTCTGTGAAGTGAGTTGAAAACGTGGCTTGTGGGGCAATCCCGGGAGCTAGAGGCAGCTTCAGCACATGTGTGCCCCACAAGTAATGCCCATCACAATTGAAACAAGCCCATCCTTAGAAACCTGGTCCATCTACATTACATACATAACCTCTACCCTATTTTCCTGGTTCAAATGACACCCCACAAGCTATGCTTCATTGTTTACACTTGACTGGCAAAGGCCCTGTTGGAGGACTCTTATCAAATGCTTATCCCACCTTTTTTCTTACAATGAACTCCAAATGGCTTATAGAATTCTCTTCTTCCTGCTCTCATTCTTAACACCACAACAATAATCTAGTGAGGTAGGTTGTGCTGAGAATCTATGAATAGCACAATGTTGCCCAGTATGCTGCATCGCTGAGCGGGGACTAGAATCCAGACTGCCTGAGTCCCAGACCCACCCTCCTGGCCACTACACTATATTGTATATGCAAAGAAACCTTGGAAATATGCTGTGATCTTGCAGCAGATGGACAGAACTTCTTTGGAAGGAAAGGGGCAAAATTATTGAACAAAATATTCCATCAGTGAGAAAAAATAAGGTGGGATGATGCAGGATTGCTGCTGTGACTCCTCAAGGTAATGGACATCCCTAGGAACTCATGAAACTGAGACAAAGCCTTTAGCTAGCAGGTAGTCCAAGGTATCACACTGAGCCCTTCTGTAGATAAAAAGAGGAATACCAGAGAGATATTATTAAGAACAATGTGCCGCTAAACACTTTTGCTCCTCCGTGCTTGAGTATGATTGGTCCATCAAGAACACGAGTGACTCTTCATTTCCTAAAGTGAGGGACTCCAGAGTGTCCCACAGAGACATGATTCCTTGAGACCTTGCTTTGGAGAGAAGCCACATGTTGACACTTCTTAGCAGTGTGCATTGCCTTTCCCAGAGAACATTACCTTTTGCCCTGCCAGACCACATTGCTGTGGATGCGAAAGGAGGTGCTTAGAGGGATTAGATGAAAGAGGAAGCTCAGTAGGAAATGGGTACTGGGGGAAATAGACAAAAGGGTATACCGGGAGGAGGAGGCCCATTGCAGAAGGATTCTTCGCAAGGCTAAGGCTGATTATGAGCTGAGACTTGCCAAGAATATCAAGACCAACAAAAAGGACTTCTTTCAGCATGTAAATAGGAAGAGGAAGGGGAGACAAGTGGTGGGACCACTACATAAGGAGGAAGGAGATCCAGTGACTGATATGAGGGAACAGCACAGATGCTAAATGACTATTTTGCCTCTGTGTTCTCCCCAGAGCAGGACGGGACATATCCGCATAGGAGATTAGATGAGGCTGGGAATTTAGGGGCACAGATTAGAGTCACCCCCCCCTTGAAGTTGAGGGGCTCCTCACGGCATTGGACATTACACAGGTGCCAGACCCTGACGGGTTACACCTGAGAGTACTTAGAGAGTTGGCAGGGGTTCTCTCACGCCTGCTGGCCTCCATTTCTGAGACCTCGTGGAGAACGGGTGAAGTTCCAGAGGACTGGAGGGTAGCATCAGTGGTCGCAATTTTCAAAAAGGGTACTAAAAATGACAGGAATTATAGACCGGTTAGCCTTACATCCATTGTAGGAAAAACAATGGAAAGGTTCATAATAGAGAGAGATCTAGTGATGCTAGATAGGGAAGGGAGGCTGACAGCCACACAACACGGCTTCCGCAAAAACAGGTCCTGCCAGACAAACCTTGTGGAATTCTATGACAAGGTTTCGAGATGGCTAGATGGAGGGGATGCAGTGGATGTGGTATGGCTGGATTTCAGCAAGGTTTTTGACAAAGTGCCCCATGATATCCCGGTGGAGAAACTGAGGAGTGTTGGGATACACCAAAGCACTGTCCGGTGGATTAGGGCATGGTTGACTGACTGAAAGCAGAAGGTAACCATTAGCGGGGAATCATCGGGATGGCAGCCAGTGACAAGCGGGGTCCCCCAGGGCTCTGTCCTGGGGCCGATCCTGTTTAATCTTTTCATTAACGACATGGAAGAAGGGGTGAACAGTCTGCTGATCAAATTCGCAGATGACACTAAAACTGGAGCAGTGGCCAAAAGTGAGGAGCAGGTATTCCAGATCCAAAAGGATCTGGACAGACTATGGAAGAGGGCAGGAGTCAACAGGATGGCATTCAATGTGGATAAGTGCAAGGTCTTGCACTTGGGGCATAGGAATAGCTGTCATAAGTACAGGTTAGGTGACAAGTGGCTGGAGAGCAGCACTTGTGAAAGGGACCTTGGGGTACTGGTTGACTGCAGGCTAAACATGAGTCAGCAGTGTGATGCGGTGGTCAAGAGGGCGAACGCCACCCTTGGTTGCATAGCCAGAAGTGTGGCTTCTAGATCAAGAGAGGTATTACTACCACTCTACACAACTCTGGTGCGCCCGCAACTGGAGTATTGTGTTCAGTTTTGGTCCCCTCAGTACAGAAAGGATATAGCCAGGTTAGAGTCAGTGCAGCGTAGGGCCACAAGGTTGGTGGCCAGTTTGCAGGGGATGTCGTATGAGATGAGACTGAGGGAACTGCATCTATTCAGCCTGGAGAAGAGGAGACTCAGAGGGGATATGTTGGTGAGATACAGGTATGTGAGAGGATGTCACATGGAGATGGTTAGAGACCTGTTCTCCCCTGCAGAGGAAGGCAGGACACACTCCAATGGAGCAAAGATCAGGGAGCCAAGGTTCCATTTAAATGCCAGGAAGCACTTCCTGACAGTTAGGACCCCAAGGGTGTGGAATGGGCTTCCACAAGAGGTCGTTGAGGCCCCATCGGTGCGGATATTCAAGGATAGGCTAGATGTCCACATGGTGGGCATGTCGTGAGTGGAGCCGGCTAATGCCAGAGATCAGACTAGATGGCCCGGGAGACCCCTTCTGACTCGTCTGTTGCTATGTTTCTATGTTTTTGTTTCCTGACATCTGCCCATCACCATCTTCAGTACATACGAAAAGAACTCAGGTTGTTCTGGATATCCCATTGATGGTGGCAATGCTGAAGTCTCTTTCCTTCTTTACAGATGCAGAGCACTGCAGATGGTGTCCAGAAGATCAGCACCCAAACAAGGACCATGACCAATGCATCCCCAAGGAGATAATCTTCCTGTCCCATGAAGAACCTTTGGGAATTGTCCTATCTTCCTTTGCCCTAATCTCTTCTTTATCCTCACTTGTGGTGTTAGGGATCTACATTATATGCCGAGGCACTCCACTGGTCAAGGCAAACAACCGGCACCTCTCCTATGTCCTCCTGGTCTCCCTCCTGTTCTCCTTCCTGTCCTCCTTCCTTTTCATTGGCAAGCCCAGCAAAGCGACTTGCCTGCTCCGACAAACGGCCTTCAGCATCATCTTCTCAGTGGCAGTTTCTTCTGTGTTGGCCAAAACCATCACTGTGGTGCTGGCCTTCCTGGCCACCAAGCCGGGAAACAGGGTGAAGAGGTGGCTGGGGAGGAGTCTGGCCAGCTCCATTATCCTTTCTTGTTCCACTGTCCAGGTTGTCATCTGCTGCATCTGGGTGGGCATGGTTCCCCCTTTCCCTGACTCAGACATGCATTCTCTGCCTGGAGAGATCATTCTGCAATGCAATGAGGGCTCTGTGGCCATGTTCTACACTGCCCTGGGCTACATGGGCTTCCTGGCTGCCATGTGCTTCACTTTGGCTTTCCTGGCCAGGAAGCTCCCTGGGGCCTTCAATGAAGCCAAGCTGATCACCTTCAGCATGCTGGTCTTCTGCAGTGTCTGGGTGTCCTTTGTGCCCACCTACCTGAGCACCAAGGGGAAGTACATGGTGGTCGTGCAGGTCTTCTCCATCTTGGCCTCCAGTTCTGTATTGCTGGGCTGCATCCTTCTCCCCAAATGTTACATTATTGTCCTGAGGCCCGAGCTGAATAAAAAGGAATATCTCATGATCAAAAGGAAAGATATCATCTGATTGTGATCAGTTTTTATGCTGGGAGTGAGTCTCTGGATTCCAGCTAACAGCATGACCTTTTCAGTAGTGGCCCCCAGATAGTGGAATGCACCCCCTATAGATCCTCACCAACTCATGACGTTTCAGTTCCATGTGAAGACTTTGATATTCTTCTAAGCATATAAAGTTTTTTTGCCTTTGCTGTTTTCAGCATTGCCTTGTAGTCTTAGATCTTTGCAATGATCCTTTTTTTTTTTTTTCAATTTTGCTTTTAGTTGGAGTGTCAAGGTTTTGAGTTTTACATTTTTCATCTTGCTGTATTTTTGTCTCTTTAACTGTTGTGAACCACCCTGAGTGTTTTGGGAATTGGTTTGCTACTATAAAGGAAATAATCAGGCAACACTTCCACATCTCTTTTTTCAGCAGACTTCTGAGAACCAATTGCACCTCCTCCTATTATTGCTGTTCTTGTTATTGCTTTAGTTTCTCACTGACCTTCCTTTTGCATGGTAGCCAAGCTGGCTCATGAGGTTTTCCTCCCCTGCACTCCCTGCTCACAACTATTGTAATATAGATGTGGCTGGGAGTCTGTGACTGGCCAAAGATACCCTTGGCATGTCCATGGCCACATGGGGAGTACAACTTGCATCTTCCCAGTCCAAGAATCAAATGGGACAGGCTCCTGCTGACTTTGTCCTTGATGGGTGGAGTGCTGAAGGGAGTGTGGGTGGGGGCAATTGCCAAAGTCCACAGTGAAGTTGACATCTGGGTTCAGATGCACCTTAACCCACTGTGGCTTCAAATCAGTCTGCTCTGTTTATAATTAGAACAGAGCAAAGCAAATTGAGACATGCTGTGCTTCATCTGGAGTACAGAGCAAGTCCAGTGCCACAAAGCTCTGGTTATTTTGGCACCCTGGAATTATAACACGAGCAATTCTCGATGAGTTTGCGATTCACCTAATAGCTCTTCTATCAAGTCCATTTCTTGCTTATTTGCTTATCAGAATGTCTTGCAGCATTATTTTAAAAGCTTTTCTAAAGTGGAGGTCCATTATGTTCACAGTGTTCCCTCTGTCCATTTGGGAGGTGTGGGAATTCATCCCTGCCTCGCAGCATTCATGCTGTAGCTAGGCACGTTACGCTCAGCCAATAGTATTGTAATTTACCAGCCAATAGTATTGCAACTTACTCAGCTAATAGCATTGTACTTCACCTGTGTAACCATATAAGGCTTGTGACCATATATAGCAATAAGTACGCTTCCTGTTACCCGCGCCTGCGCATAAGCAATCAATAAGCCTTTGTGAATCCTGCGCTTGCGCACAATCAACTAGGGTGTTCACTGCTTTACTCGATGGCTATTGGATTACGCAAGTATAAATGTATCAATCTGTGAAATAATAAAAAGGGCTGCTTGTGTTGACGCAGCAGGGGATTTTTCTGCGAAGAGATTTTTCTGCAAAGATCTTCTTTGTTCTCATGAACAACCAACCAAGCATGCTTTAAAACTTATTCTTTGTCTGCAGTGTTTTATTTCTCTCTCTGAACTCTCTCGCACCAATTGTCGAGCTGGATCTCGACAGGGAGGTGAGCCAGTCAAAAAATGACATTAAACTAGGGTTCGGTAGGATGGCCCAGACTCTCTCTGTCCTTATTGAACAAAGAATCCCAAAAGGAGATTTTTGTGTCTCCTTACTGCCCATCTCAGCATGAGAAAAGGGCCTCTCAGCTGGGCTAGGACCTGGCTGGGTTTTAGAGGTAGGCCAGCTCATGCACCTTCTCTTTCAAACCCATTTCTTAAACTGTAAACATGAGTAATTAGATAAGCAGATGCACCCTAGAAGTTTTAACTGGAACTGCAGCCCCACAAAATTTGGAAATGGTGTTAATATTATTTCCATTAGGGGAGGGAAGAGTAAAATTCATTTTAGGATTGCAGAAGCTGTGGGTATATCATGAGAAGCCAAGACTTTGAGAATACAATCATGGTAGGGAACGCTGAAAGCTGAAAAGAAAAGGAAGGCCAAAGGAAAGATGGATGGACTCCATAAGGTTCCATTTAGATGCCAGGAAGCACTTACTGACAGTTCGGACCCCGAGGGTATGAAATGGGCTTTCACAGGATGTTGTTGAGGCCCCAGTGGTGCGGGTGTTCAAAGATAAACTGCACATGCACATGGTGGGCATGTTGTGAGTGGAGCTGGCTGGAGCCAGGGGTCAGACTGGATGGCCCTGGAGACCCCTTCTGACTTGCTCTGTTTCTATGTTTCTATAAGGGGATACACAGCCTTCAGTGTAGAACAGCTAAGAAGTCCTGCCATGGGCAGGTCCTCTTGGAAGGCTTTCACTCATAGGGTTGCTATATGTTGGAGATGACAGGAGGGCACAGGACATCATCAGGGTGCATGCAGCCCCCCTTTGGTGATAGGACATGTCTACAGGAAGCTACATCTCTGAAGATAAGTGGACTTACAAGTGCAATATGCAAACATCTTTCATATTCACACCTTGGGCCTAGAGTTCAGGTTTACCAAGAAAGGGAGTTACACTACCTCTTGTCATGGGCTGGAGTTCCTCCCTTCTCACATTTAAAGCCACAGACCTCTCTTGCAAAAATGTTCTTTCTTGACCAAAGCATTTTGCAGATGCACAAATACCCAGAAGGATCACTGAACATGCACAGAGCTCTTTGTTCACCCCAAACTAGCATTCGCCTCCAGGAACTCTCCTTACAGGCATGCCTGGATGCCATTTCTTTAGAATAGGCCTTCTGAAAATGGGCACACCTGGCCTCTGCACACTGATTGTCTCATTGGACCACACTTCTGCTAATGTCATGCCATGGGTTCAAGAACTGTGCCCACTTCTTCTGTGTCTGAGAAACTCCCCTGCTCCAAGTCCCTTCCCAACAAACGTACTTCTTGGTTGTTCACAGGGACTGCCTGCCCACCAAGGGAGTGTGGCCTTGGGATTAGCATCTCTGCTTGCCTCAGCTCAGTGCTTTTAGCTTTGTATTTATTTGCTTGCTAATTTAGAATCATTCACGTGTCCAATGATACTGAAAGCAGTCAACTGGCTCTTTAACAGCCAGTTGATCTTAGTGCAAATGCTTAGTGCTAATTTGTGTAATTGCTCTGAGGCCCAACATTAGTTGCAGAGGTCAATTCATAAGAAAGATAGAAAGGTAAAGAGGCCAGCACTTTGACACATGCCCTGCTAGTAGTTTCCTCTGAAGGATATCTCTTTGGAAGGCTAATACAATTACTTCAGAAATACTATGCAGAGCTAACTCTCAAACAGTGTCCACTGTTGGGCCTCTGTTCACTGTTGAAGCACTGGCTCTTTCCCAGTCAACTGGCTTTTAATAGCACATTTGAATTGGATGGCTCAATGGTAATACATACTCCCTGGGGATTATTTTAATCTACCATGCAGCTACAGAGGAATGTTGCAGTAACTACTCTGACCACGGCGGTTGTATTTCTACTCAGGGTTTTCCCAGTCATTCTGGAGTTGCTGGGGTTGGACTCCTGTGGGGTTCAAGAATGTCAAAACTGGATGATAGGCTGATAAAAGGAAGAACTGTGTAACATATTACCTGGGAATAAGAGGCTGTTTATTGAATAATACAATGGTATCCATGCAATCCAAAACCAAATCTGGCAGCAAAGCACAAATATTTCTCTTAAAAGTGTTCTATTCTATACTATATTTCTATTTCATTCTATACAATATTTCTCCTCTCATTTCAGCCCAATCAGTCCTCTGGTCCTAACTTGGGCTGGCTTTTGAATGACAGGAGTAAGTGTTGGAGCTGAATATGACCCTGTGGAGGGTGATTTAAGAGACCCCAAAGGCCAAGGTAATGGTGGGAAACTTCTTTTAGCCTGACGGTTCAACTGAATTTCAGAAACATTCTTAGGGGGCACATTCCAGTGGTATGTATGGCCAAAACGAAAATGAGATGGGTACAAAGTCATACAAATGCCAGCCTATTGCAGCTGGAAAGCTCTCAGTGTCAGGAAAGAAACCATAGGAGAGGTGTTTCAACCTTGCACTATGGAGGAAAAACTGCAGAAATCTATGGAATCGGTTGGCAGTTCAGGAGAAAAGGGCGGGGCCATGGAAAAGGGCATGGCCTTCTCTGGAAACTGGCATGCTTGATATTCTCCAACTCTAACCTAAGATGACACGGATTCTATGGCAGAGTTGGATTCAGTCTAGACACAGGGGATTCAGCTTCACACAGGCTCAAGGCCAGGACCAAAGAACTAAGACCAAATGTCTTGAAGCTGTCTGCCCTAGGGACAAGCAAAGAGACATATCAACATGTTTTTTCCCCTTCTGAAATGCAAAGCGAACTCATCTGCATGCATACATTGTTTTTCTTCCCTTGGAAGAATGCACAGCATGCAGAACTACTGCGGTTTCCACCCACCAAGTCAAGAGCAAAGAAATCTGGACTAAAACATGCTGTAGATTCACACACCCTTGAATGCTTGAAGGCGGTCTGGTACAAGCAAAAGCCATTCTTCTACCTGCACAGCATTGATTGTGTCCCTCTCCTGTTCTGGCAGAAACCTTTGCAGACTGATACACTTCAGCAGCAATGCAATATTGAACCTAGGAGAAGTCCTCTGGAGGCTGCTGATGGTTTGGATGCTATTGCTACTTTGACTCTTGTCCCAGACTGCCAACATAGGTCTGAAGACCGCATGCCTCCTGACTAGGCCTTTCCAAGTCCAGGAAGATTATCACCAGCTGGGGGATCTCATTGTTGGTGGGAATCTACCCCTTGTTAGTGCTGTACCTTTGAGCCAAAGCTTTAAAAATCCTCCCCAAAACTATGGTCACTCCTATGATATGTAAGTTTCTTAGGAAGGGTCTCAGAGCAGAAACAGGGCTGCTCTGGTTTTACTCAGGAGTACTATTCCTTCATAGAAACATAGAAACAGAGCAAATCAGAAGGGAGTCTCCCAGGCCATCTAGTATGACCCCCAGCTCCAGCTGGATCCACTC